AGCCAAGAGCCGCCCGCCCGCCGTGCCCCCGCTGTCACAGCATCGCTGCCTGCTGCCGCCGTGACTCTGCTACTCACGATTCTCCTTTTCACCTTTTCCCCCGTCTCCGCTGCACGGTTTGCCAGCGCTAACGCCAAACATGACGGGCAGGGCACAGCCGAAGTCCCGTCCCGCTGGCGCTGCCGCAGCGCTGCGTGGCTGGGCCGGGCTGCTCCGCGCTGCGGGCTCAGCCCCGCACGGCCCGGCCTGCGGGTCCGGCTCTGAAACACAGGATCCGGGGTGATTGCTCCGTTTTTCTGAACACTTGTGAAGTGCTGAGAGAAAGGCAGTGCTGTCTGCAGAAAGACATCATGGCCGTCAAACATGATTTCTTTCTCTTTTGCAACAGAGAGTCAGCAGAGGAATCTTAAATGCAAAAAGGGCGTTTGGGCTGAGCTTGGGAAAAGCAGTGTGTCTTGTCCATGTTCATGTATTTGCTTTTTCAGTATGGATTTATAAATACATGCCTGAAGTCTTTGGTGGTTGAAAAGTATGGTGAAGAAGCATGGGAAAAATTAAGGTAACGTGCAGTGTAATAAATGTCGTGTATTGCAAGGAATGCTCAGGAGTTCAGGAGCAGAGGGTTATAATTTCTGATGCCTATCTCAGGTAATTGTTAGAAGGAACTAGCAGGGCAAAAAGGTAGAGTTTCTTACCTTTCAATACTTCGTACTCTGATGCTAATTTGTCCCAATTAATTCATTGTACCACATAATTAAGGATGACAATTAGTCTTATAGACAATTGTGCAATAGACTCCCTGTGACAATATCGAGAAGTAATTACACTGAAAATATGTCATCCTTGATAGGAAGTCATTTTAATTCCACTACTTTCAGAAAAGAAGCCAAATATCCTGTCTAGTTTTGTCTTTGAGCTATATGGTATTTTCCAAGCTGTAAAGATAGATAAACAATACTTACATACATACATATAATAGCTATTAAAGTCAGTATAAAAAAAAAAACAGTGAGTTTTTGGTCAGGTTTGTGGAGACCCAAGAGCTTGATACTGTGGCCACAATGAAGAACAAGTCAGGAGACTGGAAGACTAAGACCCCACTTGCTCTAGCACCCACACTATGATGTTCTAATCCTTGAAAAGTTTACCCTGGTACCATAACGTGAAACTGCAGAAACGAAGAGGTGGACACCACTATTCAGCCATGATAAAACACCACTCCTAAACCATTAGGGGAGGTGGTGTGTTCCAATATAAACCTTGAAGGAGGTTAAGGAGTGGGCTAACAGCAAACAATGCCTGATGAAGGCCAGCTGGGTTTCCCAAGTGTGTTATATTGACAGCAGCATTGAGATGAGAATATTGCCTTCTCTGTTGCAGGCTGCAGGCTGGAGTCCAGGATTCTTTCTTGACTTTTGAGGTTTACAAAGATGAGATCACAATGCAGCTCATCGACAAAGCCTGCAAAATACTAGGTATGTGTCACTGAGCCTCAAAAATGCACCATCCTGGGTCAAGCCTGAGACTGCAGCTCAGGTTTTAGTCTCCTGTGTTCTTTGGAATGCCCTCCCTATGTTGTAAATTATTTCCATTCAGTCCTGATTTTCCTGGCAGCATTGCAATAACTTCCAAGCTTTTCTTAGTCATTAAGGTATCTTTATTTTGCCATGTGTTCCTGCTGACATGGTTCTGAGAGAGTTTGGAGAGTACTTCTTTGCATTCTGTAAACGCTCAGGCTATGACCACATGCTGAGGACACTGGGTGGAAATCTCTATGAGTTCATAGAGAACCTGGATGCATTGCACAGCTACCTGTCCCTTTCTTACCAGGCAAGTTGTAATTACTGAGCAGGTATGGGTGGATTGTGCCAGAATTTGCAGCAGAAGAAGCAGCATCTTATAGATGTGAATGAATAATGGAAAAAGATGCTGTAACAAGCATCCCATGTTCTGAAATCTATTACTCCAAAATTTTAGGACACTTTTAATTTATTTTTTTTTTTTTCTGAGAAGTCTTCAACGTCAGATATTACATAGTACATTGGCTGTAATGCATAGTAGGTTTTCCCTCACAGATGAGCATATTTAATTTTCTACATTTCAGCATATTTACATCAGTGCTTATTTTATTAAGACATGGGATGCTTTTGTACAAGTAGAATTTGCCAGCAAAAGATACTGAAGTTTTGTTTATGTTTGTTTTTCCTCAGGAGATGAATGCCCCATCTTTTAGAGTGGAAAAGAACGAAGATGGTTCAATGCATTTACATTACTATTCTGATAGGAGAGGTCTGTGCCATATTGTGCCAGGTAATCAGATAGAATGTAGAGTACAGATCAGCTGGTAATGCAGTATCTACACAGAGTAACCATATATTTGCAGATACACTTTGCTCTGGCTTCAGAATCTCTTTTCAGGTGAGGACTGGCCATGGAATCTAAGCTTGGTAGAGTTTCCTAACCAGACACCTTCTGTTTCCCTACTGCCTGATCACTCCTAGCTCCCAGTAGCTTTATCAAGATTTATGATATGTCAATCCAGGCTGTAAGTGTCCATTCCTGATACAGAATTCCTATAGACATCCTGTAGAATTCCCCTCCTGGAAGAACAGCTAAAGTTCATGGTGTGTGTTGTCTCTGTTGATTAGACCTCAGTTGCTCATGCTCCTTAAAATAACGTGAGGTAGAAATTATAGTTGATTTGCAGACATCCATCTATCCCATAATAAAGACTTCTGCAGTACAGACAATCTGTAGAGCTGCAATTGAACCCTGCTCAAAACTGAGTATTTTCCCAGCATTTAGAGAATCTCCACTCTTGTACTTGAGCAAGGGTTAAACAGCTGTGAGTCTGTGAGAGATGATCATATTCTGCACTTCCACAAGTCCTTCTGAATTTAGAAGTTTATCAAAACTTCCCCTTTCGTCAAAACTCATTTCATATTCCTGTTGAAGCACAGAACTGTTTGGAATTTCAGACAGAGCTTTTCATGTTTTTGTCCAGTATTTTGCCTAATAGCTACACAGAAATGACCGTGCATCTTTATGAAAGATATTTCCTTCCTTTCAAAAGAAAACGTTCTGCAACAACTGAGATAGATTGTTATAACAGAATCTCTTTAGACCCCATGCTTTTTCTGGATTAATGGGAATTCACACATACTATTGCTATGTATGACTATTTGGACACAGAACTTTTTCTAGTGAGAATAAGCATTTGTAATCTGACAAGACAAAAGAAAAAGTAAATTTAAAGCTTACCTCCTATGCACATATTCTTATGATGGCAACACTAGCAAGAATGTCACAGGTAACAACAGGCTGATTTCTGCTTCCAGAGTCCTTTGGAAAAGTGATGTCTGAAACAGTGAAATTCCACCATGAGTCCTTTAAAAGGGAAAATGGAAAGGGTTTGTTCTTAGCTGTACTTTGTCTTTTGATTCCCTTCAGGAATCATTGGTGCTGCTGCCCTGGATTTTTTTAACATTGAGATTTCAATGGAAATAGTCAATCAAACAGAGGAAGAAGAAAGAACTGGTAAAAAAGAACATACTGTTTTTCTTGTCACTCAAAATCCTGTATTTTCATACAAGGAAAGAAATAAATTTTCTTCTTCACCTGAATATCTTGCTGACTCTGAAAAACAAATTGAGAACCAACTGAATAAAGAGGTATTTAATATTTATTATCACTCTATTATTAAAATATGATAAAAATAAAAGCACCCTTGAGTTTCCATTTGGGTTTATTTCAACAGGCCCTTGAAAAAGCCAAGAATGCAATTAGAGACAGAGGAAGCTCTGTTTGTCCTGTCAAGAAAAGTCACTGGAAAACAATAAGAGGAATAATCACATTAGGAAAAGGTGAGAGAACACTCAGGAGTGAGACTCTTCAGTAAGAACTCAGTAAGCCTCCTTGTCTCCACCCACCCATCTATTTTGAAGTTACCATTCATATTTCCTCTGTTTTTTTCAAAATGTTTCAGACTAACCTTCTTTTGTTTGACATTGGTAATAAAAATTTCAGATACTAAATATGCTTAGTAATGACAGATACTTAAATGGAATATGGCCTCTCACTTTTGTCTCTAAAACAGGGTTTTCTTCTGAAAAGTGTTATTCTATATAATGTCATTTGATAGTTCCTCTCATGTCACTTGGTCTAAGATGATAAATTTAAAGGAGTGTTTTTTAACTTGGTAGCTGCTACTCCTTTCCAAAAGTTAGGAACTAGAGTAAATTCTGAAAGACAAATTACACCCTCTGCTACCCAAAAATCTACTGCTTATCTGGCAATCTTTCATATATATGTGCGTGTGTGTGTGTGTGTGTTTATAATCTCTGTTTACATTTGTAAAATGGAAGGGTTACTAGGAGTTTTGCTGCTAGGACCTCTTTATTCCTTAAGAGGCATGAGAACCCAGCTTTGGTCTTTGTGCTACGGGCTAGAGTTCTCTGTATAGGAGACTGAAACCCAGATAATGCTGGGGTTTTTTCTTCTCCTTAAGTGTTCATTAGTAGTTGGCAAAGTACATTAAATCCACTTCTGTGTTCAGTTTTGTAGGATGTAGCTGGTTTACATTGCTATGACACCTGCAAATTCATAGAGCAGGAACATCTACAGTTACTTGTCTGTACTTACTGATTCCACATAATTTCATGCATCTAATGCTCTGTTCTTTTTGTATGGTTAGGTTTTAAATTCTCAGTTAACTCAGATTAGTTGTTAATCAACTGTATATTAAACTGTGGAGAATTTAGCACAGATGTGTACACATTTCTGGACCCACACACACTTTACTCCATCTTCACTCAGTCCTGTCTTACTGAGTGCTAAAAAGCAATGCTGACTGGTTTTATGAGGTGCAACCTCATTTAAAACTGCACTTTTATCTTGCCACAGGTAAGCTCCTGAGGGGATTTGATCCTGTTTATCCCAAGACCCTCTGGATTGACACAAAAACATTTTGCAATGGACTTCCTTTTCACATGGTTTTTGACAAAGAGGTAGGACAAGCATGTGGTAAAAGCCTTCGATTTGCATGAACCCTATAGTAATGCTCTTCTGTTGTGACTGCCCCACAGTTCAGTGCTGCATGGGCTCTGCAGTGCACACTCATTGGTAGCATTTACAGAAGTGCTCTGTAGGGACATGAAGTAAAAGTCATACATAAAGTAAAAGTCATAGCAACTGGATCTGGATCATTTCATTTGCATTTATTGAGATTACTGTGTCTGAAACAGCTGCAGAAAGGCCAGCAAGGTGTATTGCAGCAATCTATCCATTACCAAATATTGTACGTAGTTTTCTGAGATTTCTGGCCACCTTCCTGACCTTGGATGTGCCAGAGACATGAACCATCCTTTAAACTTGGCCTTGTAGTTAGAGCTATTCACCCTCTCCTCCCAGTTACTAATCTAGCCAAAGGCATTTGTAAGGCTTTGCTGACAACTGAGACTCTGCATGCTTCCTGAGTCTACTGCTACATGCCTCTGCTGGGAAAACCCAGATACCTACTAAATCAGGCAGCATATAACCCCATCTAGTAGGACCTGGACCCAAAAATCTCATTATCTTCCAGGGGAGGATTGAACCTCCTCACCTGTGCATACATACTCTGCAGCACTGGAATTGCTCTCCCTTGCCAGGGACTGTCCTGTGGCTGGTTTCCAGCTAGCCTGGGTTCCCACCAAGCTACAGGTCCTTTTCTTCTCAATTCCATGCAGAGAATATTAGCTTAAGACAGGAGCAAAGAAAGGAGAAGCTGAGAATAGGATGGCAGAAGAAAGCTAATAGAGCCACTTGGGAACATGTTTTGGCATCGGGCTGATAGAGATTCCAGAGCACACAGTCTGCTTCATGCCACTGTCCATATTAGCCAAAGTTCAGAGTTTTAAACCTTTAAAGACATCCAGCCTGCATAATTTGATAAAATTATTAGTGTGGAAAAAGGGCAAGTCCTGAACCCATTATTGGTAGCTAGGTCAGAGCTTCAGTAACTGATGACAAGCAGTGAAGACAGGGTGGACATTTCTGCAGGAGTTAAGAGCTCATGTCTGGTCAGCAGGCTAAAACAGAATGCCTAAACCTTTGCACAGCAAAAGCTAAGAGAAGGCAACCTGTGACATTCATTAGAAAATTAGCATTTGCCAAGACGTTTTATGCCTTACTTATTTTATTTTTGGAATGCGTGACATGCTCTGGTATCTCTATTTCCCCCTTGCAGCTACCGATGAGGCTGCTTGTTAGGCCTACACACATGCAAGCAGGGATAGTAGCAGATCATTTTGTTTGTTTTGAACAATTGATAGGGAAGAGCATTTGGGTTATAACATTCCTTTCTGGGGGCTCTGTCTTGCCATGAAGGACACTCACTCATGAGAGCTTTGTGGTGATTTGCTAATGAGGTAGAAACTGCTCAGAAAGAAGCTGTGCAGAACAGCACGTGTGGACATGTATAACCAGTGATCAGCTGTCACTGGGCATGAGCCCCCACAGGGTATGAATTATAACACTTTGTCCATATTTTCTTTCAAAGCTCAGAGTGAAGCAAGCTGGGGTGAGCATTCAAAAGATTGTACCTGGCCTTCAGACCATGGGCATCTGCTTGGATCACTACTTTAGTATCGTTCACCCAGAAGTGCCCTTCACCATCTCGAGCATTCAGAAATTCATCAACAGCCAGTTCGTTTTCCAGACTAGAAGAGAGATGATGCCAGAGACATGGAAACAACGACCAATGCTAGAGCTGAGAGGTACTTCCCTGCTTTCAATTGCATAAGTATTCCTATGAAATCAGGAATTATGCTGGAGTTGAACTAATGCCTTTCTGTGGACACCTGGGTTCTCATATGTCCTATCAATGACCTTGTCTTTGTGCAGGGAGGAGAGGATTAGATGATTCTGTTTAGAGAAACAGTACTTTATGATGCTTTTAGATAAACTGCTGTTTACCTCACCAGATTTTGAAGGCTTTCAATCAGAAACACCACCTGCTCTCCCATTTGAAAGGCTTGGAAAG